AAAATTTAATTAAAACTATTATAAAAAATTATTTTTAAATAATATTTTTTTGACAATTTATATCAAAACGCAACCGTAACCATAATGAACCATTCACTTCTAACTGCACCCACCCGCAATCGCTACCAACAGCAACTTCTCAACCAGTCAGTACTAATCATTTATAATCGCTATCAAACGTTCTGAAAACGCTGCCACCCGCATCCGCAACTGCTGCGGTACAACCAGTCAAACCCTCTCTCCACTAGGATTCAACCATATGGATATTCTGAGATACGGTCGATCCATCAATACCTAAAATTTTTACATTAGTTTCTAGATTAAAACATAATTTTTATATGATGTTATTATGTATTTATTTAAATGACTGTCATTGTATATTTTAAATAAACAAAACTCATTTTTATTTTAAAAAGATATAAAATATTTAATTAGCTAAAAAACTATATGATTTTTGAAAATAATCTATGCTAATAATTTTATTAAATAGATTGTTTTTATTTATTAAATAATAACAATAAAATATTTTCATATCTTGTTATTTTATTTTTGAAATATCAGTGTGCAACGGTCACCTCATGTCCATAACGGTAACTTTCGGAGAAGCTGCGCAAAGAGCGTATCAGGGGCCCACAACGGTCCTTATCAGTTGTTATCTGTCACATTAAATCATAAAAAACATATAAAAAAGAATGAACCATAGAAGAGACAAGAGTCAACTCACGCTTATTTAACGCACATACCATACGTTGCCATAAATAAAACACCAACAAAGGGGTACAGCTTAAAACGCACCGTATTGGCTTCATTTCCTTAAACGTGTTTTGACTTATACTGTAATTTACCGATTATACCCTTTTCAACATAAAGCCGAATGACCATTTTATCCTCGGAAATGGTCTTATTAAATTTACTTTTGCTGTTTTTTCTTGAATCAGTTTTTATGTATTTTCTTCTTTGCCAACTCCTGCTTTTCTAGAATTGTTCTATGTAACTCTATTCCACTGCTCTTGCCTTTTGTTCATAACAATTCACGGAGACTTTTATGTTTCATCGTGAGAAACTTACATTTGATACATAAATATAAATAATTAAAAATCCAAAACAAAAATAATAAGTATTTTCATCAAAACATAACGTGTTGTTATAAAAAATATATGATATTTCTTGGGTAATATTTGGTCTAAAGAAATCAGATGAGATTGGTGGGAGGAATAACTAAAAATCGAAATTTATATATGTATTTATGATTTAAAAAGAACACATATTACAATATTTGTTTGATACATTTTTAGAGAATGAAAGGATAGAAGCCAGTTAACAAAAATAAAATAAAATAAAGGATAGAAGCCGTAAATAGGGTAAGGGGGTAAATCCGTCTTTTAGACGGTGAGGAAGAGCCCGAGACACGGAGTCCAATCATTCTTCCCTCTCGTGTTTATATACCTCCTCTCTCTCCCTCTCGTTCGTTGACACAAAACGGAGAAACCAAAATAGAAACAAATCAATCAATCAATCCGAGAATTCCTCCGAACAAATCCAAGAAATCGGAAGAAAATCTCGGGTTTATCCTAGGAAAATTTCTGTAGTAGGCACAGAAAGGGCGAGAAAAAGTGCAGAACGATGTCTTGTTCGGTCGCTATCTGCAACTCCCCGGTGTTCTCGCCGTCGTCGTCGCTCTTCTGCAACAAAGCGTCGATCATCTCTCCGGCGAATGAATCGATTACCCCAGCCCTAACCCATCTCAAGCCCTCCGCCGCCTCCCCGTCTTCTCCCTCCGCCGTGGCCTCGCCGAAGTCGCCGCTTCGCCTACGCCTCCAGAAACCCCCAACCGGGTTCTTCCCGACGCCTTCGGGTTTAGGATCGGATCCGGGTCATGGGCTGGGGACCGTAAATTCCCCGCCAGGAGGGGTTCATAAGAGGAAACGTCCGGCGATGCTGAATATACCGATGGCTCCGGCGGGTTTTGGAGCTCCGGCGGCGGCGGCTGAGGCGACGCCGAGGGAGGAGAGGAGAGTGATGGAGAGAGACGGTGATGAGTTTTCGGTATATTGCCGGAGAGGAAGGAGAGAGGCTATGGAGGATCGGTTCTCTGCCATCACCAGTGTTCACGGTGACCCCAAGCAGGTAAAATTTATGTTTTTGTGTTACGAAATGGATTAGAAATGATGCAAACTAGGGTTCTTATGTGAGTTGTTTGATGTTTTGGTGCGTCCATTTGTACGAACACGTTAATTAGTTAGGAATTGTGGAACTTGTGAATCTATCCATGTGGAGGGGAGGAGACACTATGTCTATGTGGAATTTGCTGTTGAAACATCTAAGACGTAGATAGATATTGATAATATCTCGTTATAATTTCCACGAACCAAGAAACCAACGACCCGTGTTTGTGAATTTCAGGCAATATTCGGGGTCTTTGATGGGCACGGAGGAGCAAAAGCTGCGGAGTTTGCGGCTAAGAACTTGGACAGGAACATTCTCGAGGGAGTTGTCGGAAGGAGAGGCGAGCTCGGGATCACAGAGGCAGTGAGACACGGTTACCTGACCACAGACACCGATTTTCTCAAGGAGAAAGAAGGAAGGGGCGGCTCGTGCTGTGTCACGGCACTGGTCCGTGACGGGAATCTAGTGGTGGCCAACGCAGGCGACTGCCGAGCTGTTATGAGCGTCGGTGGCGTGGCACAACCCCTGACTTCTGACCACCGACCTTCTAGAGAAGATGAACGGAACAGGATCGAGAGCACGGTTAGATTCCTATCTCCGTTTATATGTTTGGTGTTTTGTTTTTTCTTTCAGGGCACAAGAGCTTGCGCTATTGAATTCAATCTCTCTATTCGGACCCTTTAGGCACTTTGATTGATTTGAGAATATGAGTAGAATAGAGCGTTTTAGTATAGGAAATCTTTTCGATATCGGATTTAGTAAACCTTGTTGTGAATGTGGTACCAAATTGTAGGTTTTGTTGGGATCCATCCTTTGGAAACATAGTGTATAGTTGATATGAAATGCGGTTGGCTAACAGTCTATGGTGGGGGTAAATATGCAGGGCGGATATGTTGATACGTTCAATGGTGTATGGAGAATCCAAGGATCTCTGGCTGTGTCGAGAGGGATCGGAGATGGTCATCTCAAACAATGGGTAATAGCCGAGCCCGAGACACAGATCCTTAGGATCGAACCCGGACACGAGTTCTTGATCTTGGCATCTGATGGTTTATGGGACAAGGTACTAATCACCATAAAAATATAAAAAGAAAACCCTTTATCCATACTTGAATTAAAACAACAATAACAACAATGTGTGTGTGTTGGCATTGCAGGTGAGTAACCAGGAAGCTGTAGACATAGTTAGACCGATCTGCCTAGGAACCGGGAGGCCATTGTTGTCGGCCTGTAAGAAGCTGGCCGAGCTCTCGGCTTCACGAGGCTCTTTCGATGACATCAGCGTGATGGTGATCCGCTTGCGGAGGTTCATCTGACGGGTTAGATTTTGACGGCGAGATCAAATCCTACGGCGAGGGATCATCGCAGTGGATAGGAGAGTAGAGGCCGACCATAGACGAAAATACCTTAGAAATATGTTGAATTCATTCATTCTTTGATTCTTTCTTTTTCTTTTAAACTTAATTATTTGTTAATTGATCTGTTCTAACAAAATAGAAGAATAAATCGACGATCATCTGTACTTTGTATGAATCGGTTCATTATTATCTTTTGATTCTCCCAGTTATGTCTTCAATTGGATCCATCCAAAGAGGTTTCGTGTCTGTAATGAGTTATGATGATATATCATTAAAATCAGAGAATGAAATAAAAAAAACATATTCGAAATTGAACTAATAATCTATTTTACTCAACAATCGATTTTGAAATTCCTGCTTTTGGATCTAAATGTATGTCCAATCTATATTTTTATCTGGATTTTTTTTTTTTTTGGATAGACCATAGAATTAAAGATACCGGAACCGTCGTCCATGCTAAAACAAGGGTTAGCCGTGCAGTGTAATAATTCATCAATGAAATATTAAAATATTTTAATTTATCACGAGTAATTAAAATGGGGATTTGGGAATTGCTGATAATGAATACCGACACGACAAGATAAGAACGAGGTTTTGTTTTGTGGGTCGTGAAGAACAGGGAGACCATAGTCAAACAAATGTGTGCGGATATATATTAATATCATTAACAAAACAAAACAAAAAACAGAAAAACGGCACGTGAAACAGATCGCATGCCTTGTGTTCAGCCCGCACAACACGGCGTTTACATACGACACCCCTCCTTTTTTCCCTGAAACGGCACGTTGTTCGGCTTTCCCTTTGTCGTTTTTCTTGCCCACAGACCAAACACCACCCCCCCCCCCCCCCCCCACCCGACGATCATCTGTACTTTGTATGAATCGGTTCATTATTATCTTTTGATTCTCCCAGTTATGTCTTCAATTGGATCCATCCAAAGAGGTTTCGTGTCTGTAATGAGTTATGATGATATATCATTAAAATCAGAGAATGAAATAAAAAAAACATATTCGAAATTGAACTAATAATCTATTTTACTCAACAATCGATTTTGAAATTCCTGCTTTTGGATCTAAATGTATGTCCAATCTATATTTTTATCTGGATTTTTTTTTTTTTTGGATAGACCATAGAATTAAAGATACCGGAACCGTCGTCCATGCTAAAACAAGGGTTAGCCGTGCAGTGTAATAATTCATCAATGAAATATTAAAATATTTTAATTTATCACGAGTAATTAAAATGGGGATTTGGGAATTGCTGATAATGAATACCGACACGACAAGATAAGAACGAGGTTTTGTTTTGTGGGTCGTGAAGAACAGGGAGACCATAGTCAAACAAATGTGTGCGGATATATATTAATATCATTAACAAAACAAAACAAAAAACAGAAAAACGGCACGTGAAACAGATCGCATGCCTTGTGTTCAGCCCGCACAACACGGCGTTTACATACGACACCCCTCCTTTTTTCCCTGAAACGGCACGTTGTTCGGCTTTCCCTTTGTCGTTTTTCTTGCCCACAGACCAAACACCACCCCCCCCCCCCACTCACATCATCATGTGTGGTGTATGCAATATGCTACCAAACTCCGGTTCGGCCTTTCAAAAATGGACCCAACCCATTACCGCTGTCTATTAAATCAGCTGTTTTAATTGACAATTGAATTTTTATTTGGTCTTGTCGCCTCATTTATAAAGTTTACAGTTTGGGGATGGATTCGATGTAACAACACTATACCAATTTTGTTACAACCATATGACTCATTTAATGCGCTTTGCCCATTAAAAAACGATTTTATACGAAAAGTTTCTAAAGAAATTGAACGATCACATGCATGAAACGTTCTCGAATTGTTTGCCAATAATTAATTACTCCTGTAAGCAATGTGGCTCATAATTTTGAATTGACTCGTAAAGATATGTACACATTGATACACGCGCAATACATGTGGGTCCTTCGGTGTTTTGGTTGATAATTACATCCAAAGTACAACGTTAATCAGGAAATCTTTATACTAGATTAAGCATGTTAATCAACATATAAATCAAACTCTAATAATTTACACTATTCACATGAAAAATGTACTGTATTTGATAATTTTGTTCCTTTAACTCCTTTTTGTCATGATTCATCTAATTATGCCGCGACAGAAACATATATCTTCTGGCGAATCTTTTTTTTTTTTTTGGCAAATTAGATAATAGACAGATACGCACATCTTGGTGGGTTCTCACAAAGTATATGCACATATATACACACAATCATACGTAGATTTATACGTATTTTGGTGGGCATGGAGGTGTGAGATGCTATATATATATACGATGAGTTAGGGGTCCTTTGCATGCATCTCCATGTTACGTTGTCGGCCACCAGATTTTGAGTTTCGCTGTTTTGTTGTCTACGTCTCGCACGACACTAATCCACACCACAGCAACTTATGTCTCCTCTATGTTTGCCTTCTTTTATTTACAATTAATCTCCTCTCTGAAACCACTAATTATGCATTTTTCTTCATCATTAATCCATACATATCTACACGGTTTTATCCGAATTTAAAAGTTAAATAATTTAATCTGAATGGAGTTCGACATACTAATAATTAATATATTTGTTTTTAATTAGTTTAGATCTTGAATAAATTGAGGTATCTTATAAGTATAATAATTTCGAAAGAGAGATATTTTCCATGTGTAATGCACTACAGACATTATAATTTATCCACGTCAATTTTGTTTTGTTAAAGTCAACAAGCCTCTAATTATACAATAGTATCGATTAGATGCCTCTTATATATATATATATATATATTATATTACAAGGGTCTTTTTTTGTATGAAAATATTAAATATTAAATATATACCAAGGGTCTTAACAGCGACTTGCAAGTGGATTATCCGATCTATAACATATATAATATGGTATGGGTCCCCTAAATCTTCGAGAAATAATATCTTGTTGTTTGGACTGTTGTTTCACATAAAAGTTGCCCTAAAAAGATATGGAACAAGTGGTGGACCGTTAACTCAGTCCTACACGTTCTTCTCAGATTGGCACAAGATTTCCTCGAATTTTATTTAAAATTTATTTTATTTTATAAATTTTGGACTCTTTCATTATTTTTTTGGCTTAAGTTTAATTTTTAATTAATTTTGATAACAATACTTGTCTTGAATTAATATAATATGTATAGACACATACATATATACAATCAATATGTTAATTATATTATTTTTATAAAAAATATTTTCTATCAAAATTCAATTATATATATATATATAGTCGTGTTATTTCAATTGCTATTGTTAGTGATTATATACCTTTAATTATAAAAAGAAAAGATAAAAGTTAAAACACGAATTAAAAAACAATTGAACTTTATTAAATTACAGTTTTTAACAACAGTATATTTTTTTCTCTATTTAATATCAACTGCCTAACCAATCTCTTTAAAAGTATTTATAGATCTGTCCAAAATTTAAGATTTAAAAAATACTGAATTTCTACCCTATAAAATAGATGCTGATCATATATGTAATTGTTATTAAAAAATATTGGATATAATTGTTTGCACCAAAAAAAAATCATAGGTTGAGCACCACAAAAATCAAATATTGTTCACCCGTATTTTTTTAGTACTTCACATTTATATTTATTTATATACTGTTAGATTAAAAAAAATTGTATTACTTCTGTTTCATTATAAATTTATAACCCGCAGACAAAAATGTTAATACGTGGACAATGGTGGAGCACGTCAATAGTGTAGCGTTACACAACTGGAGCCTCTGGCTATCTCTCAACGAACGTGGACCATTTATATCTCGCCACGTCAGCTCATAACTGGAACCACTTTGCTATTATCCAGCCTGGCGTGGGCGCATCCAATATGTTCAGTTGTAATTCTAATCTCCTGCTTCACCCTCACGCGCTCGGTTCTGTACCGAATAAATAATGCATGATAAGAACATTTCTCCAATGTTTTTTTTTATATGCTAAGCTTAATATAATTGAATATTGAAGTTTGGCGTTTCCTATTAACATAATAGACATTATCAAAATTACAGGAAATAATAAATTATAATTTTATTCATCTCTAAATTAGTTATCCAAAGAATAATTATATCCAAATATTAAAATGAGTTTCACGTTAACATTCTAATTTCCATAAGATGTTACATAAAAGTCTTAAACATGTAAGTTTAAAGAACAAAGCATGACTGTGAATCTGTGATTCTCTGTATATTAATAATAAGCATTGCGTGACCTTTGCAATACTCGTTAAATACATACAATATATAACCAAATAAATTATACGAATAATTGCAAGTACTCATTTCTATTTTCATAGCTTGACGATATATAGTGATTATGGATTAATATTTTATTTTAAGTATCTAAATTCAGTAAAATAATATTCGCATTAGAACATCTAATACTAAAATTATATATACAATTTTTAAAATATAAATCGTATATAAATAATAAGTTTGAAATAAACTGATTTTTTAAAAATGAAATAAAATGATTTTTAAAAAATAAATAAATATCGTTTCAGATAAAATTTGAAATAAATTTTAATTCAATTTGAAAATAATATAAATATAAATTTGACAAAAAAAATAAAATACGAAGATTTATATAAAAAATAAAAATAGAATACAATTAAAACAAAAATGACGAGCATAAAACGAGAACCGTTGACATCTGTCTCTTGTCGAAAAATCAACGGACCAGATCTAACCGCAACTTGGTTCTTCTTGGATAAGGATGATAGCCTAGTGTTCAGTTTCTTGCAACAGCCCGCGAACTTTCCAAGTATCCTGATGTCATTAAACCGTTTCCACAATTATCCTTAAACGACATTTCCTGTATTTTTCAGTAAACATATTTTTCATGCGAATAATTTTTTTTTACTTTAAAGAAAATATATAGTTTTAATTTAAATCAAAAGTACAACCACTGGGACGGCATAGAATGAATTCTCAATGAAATTAAACATGCTAACGTTCGCTTGAAGATGAAATATCACGTGATCTATTTTCAAAATAAAAACGGTATCCCTCGACCACAATTTTGTGTCCAGAGACACGTAGAAACAAAATTCCACGTCAGCAATTTAAAAATTGCAACTTTATTTTATGTTCACATTTAGCAGTTCAAACACACGTATAAAAGGCCCCGTGGTCACAAGCAGGACACACGAAACGTTGGCACACATGGAGAAACAGAGCATCAGATTCAGACACATTTCTTCTTCTTCTCCTTCTCCTTCGTCTTCTTCCTCTTCTTGGGTTCGTGGCGCGTGCATCGGACGCGGCTGTTTCGGCACCGTAAGCACTGCGGTGAGAAGATCCGACGGCGGAATTTTCGCCGTGAAGTCAGTGGATATCGCCACGTGTCTCCCTTCTCAGGCGGAGTCTCTTGAGAACGAAATCGCCGTTCTTCGCTCTCTCGAGCCTCACCCATGCATCGTCGGTTTCATCGGCGACGACGTGTCCAATGATGGAACGGCGTCGTTTCGGAACCTCCACGTGGAATATCTTCCACGCGGTGACGTGGCTTCCGCCGCCGGCGAGATCGACGAGGCTCTGCTCCGGCAGTACACGTGGTGCTTGGTCTCTGCTCTTCGACACGTTCACTCGTTCGGAATCGTTCACTGCGACGTGAAGGCGAGGAACGTCCTCTTCGGACACGACCGGAGCTCAGTCAAGCTCGCAGATTTCGGGTCGGCGATCAGAATTGGCGACGGTGAATCGACGACTCTGATCACGCCACGTGGAAGTCCGTTATGGATGGCGCCGGAGGTGATCAGGAGGGAGTATCAGGGGCCGGAGAGTGACGTATGGTCGCTCGGGTGTACGATAATCGAGATATTCACCGGGAAACCCGCCTGGGAAGACCGCGGGTTCGATTCGCTCACTCGAATCGGGTTCTCCGACGAGTTGCCAAAATTTCCGGCGGGTCTGTCAGAAATCGGCCGTGATTTCCTCGAAAAGTGTTTGAACAGAAACCCGAGAAAGAGGTGGAGTTGCGATCAGCTTCTGCAGCACCCATTTCTGTCGCGTGATAGCTGTTCCTCATCTCCGCGTTGCGTACTCGACTGGGTCAACTCGGAGTTCGAAGAAGACGACAGAGAAGAAGAGTCGAGATCCAGCCCTGGAATGTCCGCGATGGTAAGGATTTGCAAATTGGCTACGACCGGAGGGGCAAATTGGGAATCAGATGGTTGGGTGGATGTTAGATGCCACGCTTCCGAAGGGGAAGGGGAAGGGACAAGCAAAGAATATACGAATTCGGCGAGGGTAAATTCGGAATTCAAGACATCTCTGGATGTCGAGGAGGTTTGGTCGGATGGGCAAAATCGTAATTTTAATAATCTCGGGGACGCGGCGGCTGGCGGTAGCCCGCCGCGGAACGCGGGATCGGCGGCGGGGACGCGTGAAATATTATTACTATTATCGGATTTTCTGGCTGTAAAGAATATTCAGATATATTCAACGTCTGTCACCATTGTGATTCTCATTCTCTTTATCATTATCACGGCGAAAATAATAATAATAATAATAATAACAACAAATGTTTGTTTCATTCCTAGCCTTTACTTTATGTTTTCTATCGCATGTGATTCGGACCGAACAATCTAACCTCTTCGTGGTGTGTTGGGAACGGTCTCCTAATGCTGGTGTTGATAACTCTCACATGAACAATATAATATTTAATTTAAATATATACCATAAATCATTTTCTTATTTCTCTTATTAATAAAAAAAAGGGAACCGATGGAAGATGACGAGGGTGGTGGTGGTAGTGGGCATTGTTGGCATCCCATACAATTCTCAAGTTGCAAGTTGGATGAGGTGTCTATCGACTATCATCATAAATTATATTCCTACATTATTTTTACCGAATAACATTCAACACTCCTAATGAATTCATCTTTTTACATTCCTTGAAGTTTTGGATAGTGGGCATTGTATATATCATCGTTTTTATTATGACATATATAAAATATAGTATTACGTGATATTATTTGAATAATTTTCTACATTTTTTTCATATATCTTAAACTCATTTAGATTCAGATCACATGATGTATAGCCATAACTTATTATTACCTTTTTTTTTAAAACAAATTAGAAACAAGCGTAGTTAACGTTTTGAAACTGCATACATATGCTACTTCTTCCATAAAAGCAACTATATTAAATTATAGTTGACTTTTTCAAATTGCGTTTGACTTCAATTAAATACACTCACTTGTAAACTTTAATTTGAAATTGACTTTAATTAAAAACACATTGTTTAAGTTATAAGGCAGGAGTATTCAAAGCTGGCTAAGATATAATTATTATTATTTGCTCGACGGTTTGGGCTTCTCGTGGAGGGGTCGAGTTGATTGCCTCTGTCTACCTACCAAACACAAAAAAAAAAATCTTGTTTGTAACTGTTTTATAATTAAATAAAATAAAAATTATTGGGCTTTTATATGGGCCTTATATTTAGAAGGCATAGGCCCATATGAGATCCATGTCGTCATTCGGGGGGG